GGCAAAAACCCGCATGTGTGATCTATTGGAAAATATAGGGGTCTAAGACGTGTATGTAAATCCAAGTGGAAACCCTTGTTGTAGGTACTTCTCTTGGTCTGAGGGGGAATCCCCGACACGTTAGAGATAGAGGGAAGCTGCAGGATTGGGGGTCAGTAACAGCAGGCACAAGCTTTAGTCTAGTGAGTGGTTCCACGTAACAGTCTGAGAGAAAAGGTTGTTAATTTTTATGGAATTTAGGGGGGGGCAGTTGGTTAAAGTCCTAGTTTTCAGGTGTATAACTCAGCCTCTGTGTATTGTATGTATTGTGTCCCGTTGTTACCCCCCCCCCCCCCCCCAAGTCTCCTTCCATCGCCATTTATCCCCCCTTTACACTTTCTACCTCCCTCCTTCCCTCTGGTAATCACCATACTGTTTTCTGGATTTTTTTTGTGTTTGGTTTTGCTTAATCCCTTCCCCAGCCCCCTCTCTCCTGTCAGTTTCATGTATCCATGTTGGTTTCTTCTTTATTAGTTTATTTTTTATTCATTAGATTTCACATACGTATGGCATTTGTCTTTGACTGGCTTATACAGTCTTGATGGGTAAGATTTCCCTTTTTACGGCCAAGTAGTATTGTGTAAATGTATCTCAGCTTTTTTATTCACTCAATTTACTGACGGGCACCTGGGCTGCTTCCAAATCTTGGCTATTGTGAATAACTCCGCAGTGAACATAGGGGTGCATACTTTGGAATTAAGTGTTTTGAATTTTTTCAGATATATCCCCAGAAGTGGAAAACTTGGGTCATAAGGTTCCATTTTTAATTTTTTGAGGTACCTCCATACTGTTTTCCACAGTGCCTACACCAATCTGCATTCCCACCAAAAGTGCAGGAGAGTTCCCATTTCTCCACATCCTTGCCAGCACTTGCTTGTCTGCTGATAGCCATTCTGACAGGTGTTAGGTGATAACCTCATTGTGGTTTTCATTTGCATCTCTGATGATTACTGACTTTGAGCATCTTTGCATATGTCTGTATGCTTCTGTTTTCACCACAGATTAATAAAACAGTTCCCCTGCATAAATTTGTTCGTTTTCAGGGTTACTGAACACTTGAGGTTTCTGCAGGTGAATTGAATGAATATGTGTAACCTATAACAGGCTCATCAAACTAAAGCAGTTATCACCAATGCATGTGCTGCTTTTGTTTTGCCATTGTAGCCAGTGCAGACAACTCCCTTATAAAGTGCAATTGTAGTGGATGTAGATCTGAATTTTAGCTTTAATAGTTGTATTTTGCATTTCAGGCGCCAAGCCCACCTTTGCGTACTTGCATCCAACTGTGATGAGCCTATGTACGTCAAGTTGGTGGAGGCTCTTTGTGCCGAACACCAAATCAACCTAATTAAGGTGCGTTACCTATCTAATTTGATTTACCTCAACTGTTAAGAGATACTTTTGCTCAAAGAAAGTTGGACCAACATGTTAGGAATAATGCTATCTGTAGTGGTTTTTGTCACACCACAGCAAATTTTGTGGTGTCCAGCTTAATGCTTCCTGCAGATATGAAAGTCATCCCATACACTTGATGTTGGCTATGTCAAAGGTGGTTATAGAAGCAACTATTCCTGCAGTACTGAATGCTCATTTTGATGTTGGTATGGAACAAAACAATGCCTGTAGTGATCTTGGTGCTGTACATGATGACAACTGGCTCCCTCTACTGAATTGGTGTGAGGAAACTGCCTGTCACCCTATCTGACTACAGTACCTTTTGGGTTTGATTTATTGTCAGTACAGCATTAATGCCCACTAATATTGTGATATTTCAAATTCCCCCCAAATAGGTTGACGACAACAAGAAACTAGGGGAATGGGTAGGCCTCTGTAAAATCGACAGAGAGGGGAAACCCCGTAAAGTGGTTGGTTGCAGTTGCGTGGTGGTTAAGGTAAGTCTGTATCTCTCTGTGGGATGAAGGTTGTGCTGGGTTAACAGTATGTTTTCTGCCTTTTACAAAAAAATAAAAATAGTCCATAATGCAAGCCAGCCAATAAGTCTGCTTACCTGAATGTGTTCTGCAGAAATTTAGAGAAAGCTGGCAATAGTAAAGCCATGTTACGAGCCTTAAAGACATTGAAGTCCTTAAGGTCCCTGAAAATGGCTATAAGAAGTTTTAATAAACAATTTTCATAAGACACAAGCTAATTTTAAAGCTTTACTATAACTAGTATTGATGGCTTGCTGGAATTTCTAAGTGTTACTAAAATGAAAATCCCATGACTTTTTTAGGACTATGGCAAAGAGTCTCAGGCAAAGGATGTCATCGAGGAATACTTCAAATGCAAGAAATGAACAAATAAACTTGGCTTTTGTTTATCATGTCTGGTTTTTGTGTGTGTGTGTGTGTGTGTGGAGGGGGAAGGGCAGGCAGTAAAATAGGTCCCTATTAGTGAAGGACAAAAGATAAAGGTAATTGTTGCAAAATAACTGGAAGCTTGCTATTTGTTTCCTCGGGTTTCTAAATGAAAGCCTACTTTCCTAACCAGTAAGTAACTTCAAGGTTGGCAGTTGAAGGGAAACAGTCTAAGCAAAGACTGTTGTATTGATGTATTGATTCTCACTAGGGTACCTTGGGGTGGGGGTGTGATTTATCATGACTGATTTGGCCAGCCTAGAGCCTGGAGAAACAGTCTGAAGCCAGTCAAATGTGATTGTTAATGAATTAGAGTCTTGCAGCTGGACAGTGAGTGTAAGAAGACAAAAGGTGGGCAGGGTTGTATTTAGGCCATGGGACACCAGGAAGTATATTGTGTCCAGAGGTGCTTATGGACATTCCCATGAGG